CGCTGTTGCTGCTGCCAGCACCTGGCTAGTTTGCCCCTCAACTAAAACTAAGCAACCCCTTTCCCCAACCCCACCACTCCTCCTCCTCCTCACTACTTCTCTACTCTTTTGGGCTCTTTCACTTCCGCACCTTAAAATATTCATAATGAAAGTTATTGTTTGCCACTTTGCGAGCACGTATGCATCTGTGTGTGTGTGTGTGTGTATGCCACGCCCACCTACACACAGCCTGCTGAAAGTGTGCACACTGTGCTCACTGGACGGTTTTGATTGTTTTGCGACCAGGCCACGTTGTCAAGTTCCCGAGCGCCGGGCCGCCGTGTTTGCTCAATTCGAAAGTTCGAACTTCGATTGCAGCTTAAAAGGCCAAATGAAATTTAATTGAAACAATATCGAATAGGAAAAGAAACTGAATTCAATTGTTTAGTTCGCTAACTCAACTATATAGTAGTTGGGCTCAACTGAGAAGTTCCACAAAGAGGATTTAGCAGAGAAAACAAATCGAAACGAATTGAATCTGACAATTAATGTTTTTATTTGTATACGTAAGTCTGATATATTTGTATTTCCAGTATTAGGTATATTTATATGTTTAAAGGGAAAATAAATACAAAGAATTATGCAGCTTATATCTCCTATAAATTTATAGCTAAAAACATATATGAATGTACTTCGAGTGCTACAATATTTTTTAAAGCTTTTAGATATATTCATGAACAAACTGAAATCTCTAATCTTAAATTTTTGTTGTTGCAAAAATATAGCAAAAAAAAAAAAATATATATATATATATTAAAATTTTTACGAATATTTTTTATGTAAAATCAAGAAATAAAAAAAAAACTTATTTAATATAAATAAAAATATATTATATTTATTATTTATTTCCTTAAAAATTAAGGTTTAGAGGACAAAGTTTACTTCTGAAATTATTCTTAAAGTTTGAGTTCTATAAAAATTTGATGGAAGTAGAGTTTTATTAATACAAGAGGTTTATAAAAGGCTTAAAGGCTTAATATCAATTAAGTTCATATATATAAATATATATATCTATAATTGTTTTGGTTCGCATATTTACATTTGTTGCATTTATACTGTTGAAATATTGCTCAATGAATTGAGATCGTATCATATCATAAATCTCAATAAAACCATAAGAAATCAAGCATAAATTTAATGTAAATTTTCAATATTTAAACACATTCACATGTGTATAATAAAGTTCATTCGACTGAAAATAAAAATAAATTTCCCATAACATCAGACAGTCTACTTGGTCGACTTGGCGCACCTGCTGAAGGTATGCCAAATAGACTTGTTCGCAACATATTTTACTTTGAGCGTATTTTTTTCTTGTTTTTGACAAATTACCTGGGCGAACACCTCAAGAAGCCGCCGCCCCTGGCCGTCTTTCGCGTAGCTTTACGGCCCGTTTATGGTTCCCTGGTATATGGCATAAAGCCGGTGCTATTAAATATAATTGCCAGCAATTTTTACAATCTACTTAGGAAATCATTTTTAATGTGCTTTCAAAAGCTAGACCTGCCCTCGGCCCTGCACTCTCCCCCCCCCCTTGACTGGCTGACATGCTAATTGAGGACTGTGTGAAAAAGGGAGAGAGGAAAACGTAAAGAACAAAAAACTGTGTCCCAAGCACAAAACAATAGAGCTTAGAAATTTAAATTAACATTTTGAGTGAATCTAATAAAAGCAAAACGGAAAAGACTATGCAATAAAGAAAGAAAAGAAAAAAAGAAAAAAAAGAGAAGCGAAAAAAATGCCCAGCAAAGCAAAACAGTTAAATTGTTTTTGACCAGGACACGGACGATGGAATGCGCTGGCTGCCACAATTGCCGCAGCCAGGTGGCAGCAGGTGAGACTGGGCGTTAGATTTTTTATGCATACCCAACATTGTTGCGGCCTGGCTCTGGTTTACAGTTGCCTCGACGTTTCTCTCGCTGCTGCTGCCTTTGTTTATGCGGTCAAATTTAAAATGCCAGCAGCAGCAGAAGCAGCACCAGCAGCAGCAAATGTATGTACATAGAGAAGTGTGTATGTGTGTGTGTATTTACATATTTTAATGTGCTCGTGGGCAGCATTCGATGCCTTTATTTTGTATTCCGGACCTGGTCAAAGGGCTGCGACTGCGACTGACTTGAGGCTGTCCCAAAAAGAAAGCCAAACAGCAAAAGCAACAGAAACAGAAACAGCAACAGCAACAGCTACAACAAAAGCAGCACATAAACCAAGGCAGGCAAAAGGCACATCCACACTCTCACACACACACACACAGTGGAGCTGCGAGCACATGCATACATACATAAATTTTCACACTCGCTCGACGAGGGGCCCGCAAAAGTTGAGGGACAAATGCAAATACACAAACAATGGCAGCGAGGGGCTACTAAGCCAAACTAAGAAGGTTTCGGTAAACAAACAGACACACATACACACATACACGTGGACACATAGACAACATCAGCCACAGCAGCAGCAGCAGCAGCAGCGCAGGCGTTGTTATTGTTGTTGCCACCAGTTGGGCACATTCATAGTTAAAATTTGGAGAGACAGCGTCGAGAGATTTGGCAAACAGCCGTGGCGAACCCAAACCACCCTAAGCCAGCCCAAGCCTAACCCAATCTGTCTCTCTCTCTCTCTCGCTCGCTCTCTATATATGTTGCTCCATTTCGGCGCTCTTTGCTCTGCCCTCTCTCTTGCTCGGTCGCGTTAATCATGGTTCCTACAATCGCCAAACAAGTAAAACAACTGTGCAACAACAACAGCAACAATGCAGCGTAAGCACGTGCCAAAATGGACATCGCACATACACACACTCGCACACACACCCACACCCACATACTCTATATGAAATTGTGTATATACCATGCGCTGTTGTTCGCATTTGTTGGCTGTCAGTATTTAACATTAACTCGCACAGATTCATCTCCCCCTAGTCGCATCGGCAACTGTTGAGTATATATTCCAGAGCCAGTTGCTCGCAGTGCTGCTGCGAACCTCAAATATTTAACTGTAATTTCATTTAATTCAAATCAAGTTTTATTTACAAAAGTTTGCGCCACAACTACAACTTTCAGCATTTGTGCTCAACTGGACATTTCGCAGTTTATTTGTTTTTCGAAATTACATTTTCGTTGGCAAGAAGCAAAGCAGCAGAGGCATTGCTCAATGAAAGAAGGCCTTATCTTGGGAGTTACTGGGCTACTTTTTGATATTTACAAAAACAGATTTAAATGCTTAAAGCAGAGTCTGCAGCAGAGTATCAAGTAATTTTTGCCTTAGCTCATAGTTGATTTAAATTTAAAATTTAAGATTTTTATGTGCTTTTTGTTTTTGGTAGAATATCGTAAAAATCATCGCACATCGTCACGAGTTTGTCCTTGTGTCTAAATGCACTTTGCAACTCACTTACAAAATACCAAAATAAGGTATTAAAAGTGAAAGTATTCTTGTGCTAAAAAATGCCAAACATTCAATTACAACTCCTCTCATATTCTGCTGCAAACGTGAACTATAAATAGTAGCCGAGTATCTATGATCAAAATTCAAAGTTTTCGCTTTTCTCTTTCAATTTTTCATATACATACATATGCATATATTACTATTTCATCAGCCAATACATTTTTGCATATATATCGAACTGCCAATTGATTTATCTTGTTTTTTTTTGTAGAGTTTACATATTCAAGAGAAATATTTAATACACAACAATGGCTGCAGTTTTGCTATAGAGCTCTCTGTGTTATGCATACCCTGATGATAGCTTACAAAATGATGAACTCTGCACAGCAATTTGTCCGAGCCGAGAGCAAAGCATCTGAGTTTATGTATGGAGGAGCATGTAGTATATTAAAATCGATTGATTTTTTGATGGTTATTGCCAGCAAGGATAGGGCCCTATATACAGGCACATTGTGAATAAATGGCCACTCGTTAAGGTAATAACAAATAACTGTATAGCACACATTATGCCTACACAATGAAAGGGCATAACGACAATGGAGAGGAAGGGAGGAGGTAGGGAGGTAGACATATGGGCTCTGGTCAGAAAGGCTGCAACATAAAGTTAATAGTCAAAAAAATAATATAAAATATCTAAAGGCATTTATTTTAACTTGCGATTATATGAGCTAATTACCAGCTCAAGCAGCCCAATTAATAATGTAATCAAATTTTATGTTAGAAGACGACTTAGGTCCTGAGTTAACAGTATTTGTTGTTGTCGTATGTTTATACGACTATACATATACATCTATGTATATATGTAGCTTAAATATGTAAATTTATTGAACTTTATATTTAATGTATTTACATGTTTTCTACTGCATATTTTTTCTATAAATGCATTTACATTATTGACGATTTTCCTAGTAAAATGGGTATATTAGTTTTATAAAACTTAATGAATAGAAGATATCATAAATACCAAAAATATATTCATATATTCCTTAATTTTTAACATAATAGAGATTAAAGCTTCTTAACTTAAAAAATATTTATAAATATATTTATAAAATATATATTATGCAGAATATTTCTGTCCATTTTTCATTATATTTCTTCATATTAAGCGTGTATTTCATAGTCTGCTACACCCTATTGCAGCATTATTCATACATGTTTACATTGAGGTTTTTATTTGGCATTCAATTCAATGAGCAACAACCGCCACTAATTGCATATATAAATAAAGCATTTATGCAATCTACGCAATTTACGAACTTTTTCCATGCATGTTTTAATGTGTACAAAAAATGTTTATTTATCACATCAAAAAAGAGAAGATGAAATCAAATCCAAACAGACAATCTGCAGTGCAATGTTTGACAGTCATTCGTTCGTGCTGTTGAATGATTTATAAGTGCACACACACAATTGGAAAGCCGCTAATCGAATTTTCATATCTATATAGCTATATTTATATTTCTGTGTATATTTCTGTGTATTTGTATTAATCTCTATCTCCTTCTATATATTTGCAGATTATATTTTTACCCTCATATTGGCCAGTTAAATGTGATGCAGCCAAGGCCCAAATAAAACCCCGAAAAACAAAACCCAAAACCAGCTGCAGTATAAATCAGCGGAACTGAGCATGCGACAATTTGTACATAGATGACCCATGACCCATGGCATACATATATTGTGCGAATACATATGAATAGTATCTAGTTATATACAAACAAACACAGAGAGAGACCCACATAACGTAGCTATAACTAATTGGTTCGACGGCGCTGACGTGTTATTGATCCACAGCAAACGTGGTATAAATAAATAACTAGATAGTTCTGCATGTGAAATTTTGAGATTTCAGCAACGAGAACAACACCAGCAACAAAATTGGGGTATAAAATATTTATCACAAATTGTAATAATCCATCAATTTATAACAAATTTTTGTCGGTTGTCGAAGGACACAAAACACCCACAAAAAAAATTAAAATATCATAAAAAAAAAGCAAAAAAAATAACAAAAAAATATATATATTGCAGAACAATTTTCAAAAGTAGGTTCCAATTTGTACCAATTGTAAATAGTTAAGAACTTGTTTTTTATTATACTCAAATTTCTTAATTTGATACCTAGTTGAGTGTAGTTTAGCTTAAGGGGGTCTAGGATTCATTGCCTTCGAGGGAAAGCCCGTAGTATCTAAGTAGGCAATCACAAAATAATAAAAATAAAAAATAAAAAAATTAAATAAAAGAAACTTGTAAATCGATTGGATGTATCCAATCGATATTAATAAAAATTCTATGCTTATGGTAAATGATATATATATACAATGGACGACCAAACAAAAGTTTAACTTTAAATTTAGCAACTCCAAAAATCAACTAAATTGAAGCCAACTGAAGAGATATAAATTGAGGCACAACTCTGAGATAGTTAAGATACTTCGAGTCTAGAATTCATAGAGCTCAATCTGTAGTCAAGATTTCGAAATGCCTAAGCTTTAGCTCCTCCAAATATATATATAAATAAAAAGGTTTATAAATTAAATATAAAAGGAAGGAAGATAAAAATTAACAGAAGGCTTGTTAGTGATATTAATTTTAAATAAAACTTTAAACTAAAACCAATTAATGGATCTTTAGCAATGTGTTTAATGCAATATTTTAATTTGCTGAGAAATACATGAAGAAAATAAAGAAAACATTAAGAGAGAGAATATAGTTATACAAGGGCTGGCTACACAAACATCTTGAGAAGCTAACTGGAATATTTACTTTAATACGCCCTAGGTAGCTCTACAAGTATTAGACTCTTATGTAAATTCGGCAGTTAACGTTTTTCTGTTAGTTAACGTTTAGCTAATTATGTTAAGCTTGAAACTGTTTGTAAATAATAGTGAAAGGATGAGGGAGACACTCAGCATTTGAAATAGAGATTAAATCACTTAAGAACTTCTCGTATATCAACTAAACTAAAATTTAAACAACATTATACACAGGCAGCACATTAACAATAAGAAACACTAAGCAACGCATATGTAAACAAGTTCCAAGCAAGTCTTACAAATATTCACACTCACACAAACACACTCACAGACACACGCATGCACATTAATGCAGTATATTCAAACGAAAAAAAAAAAAACAACAACAACAACAATTTAGCAATTATCATTAAATATTTACGAACTGTCTGAGCAAAAGCAAACTAACTAAAGCGAATGACTAAGCTAAAGTGAAAGCAAAACTAAACGAAAACACAGCGCATAAGCAATAGGCGCCATCAGCTATACGAGTAATGTAAAACGAAACAAAAACAAAACAAAAGCCGTTAAATAAACGAAATACAAAAATACAAACAATAAAAAAAAAATACAAACGAATTATTTTCAATTTCATTTTGCACTGCAAGCATCAATATACGGGAGATGGAGCTGGAGCTGGTTCGTATGCGCCTGGGACTCATTGGCCGTACAACATACGCTCAATTGAATAGCCGGAAATGAAATGCGAAAGACTGCAACAGTGGCTGATTGAATGCTCTCTCATTATAGGGGTCAGTAAGGAAATACATACGTATGTATATATAAATACATATATATGTACATATAAGTATGTAAGTACTATAGATTTAATTCAATTTGGAGTAACAAAGGGTCGTCGCACATGGGGAAAACTGTGCTGTGAGAATCAATTTTAATATAAGAAATTCATGACACAAATGTGTGTTAAGTTAGCTGCGCCTGCAGCTCATTTGGTACTGAAATGTTAAATTAACCTAACTGCTATTGGCAAGACATATGTATGTATAAAAATACAAGCGAGAGTTATTCAGCTGTGGTAAGTACATCTAAGGCATAAACATTGTTTAAAGAAAAGTAAGTAAAGTTCATTTGCATACCTCACAGCACATACTCTACTGCAAAGTCACTTAGCTAGCCGCCAGTGCCAGCAGCATAAAGCAACACTCAAGGAGGGCAGCCGTAATCGTAGCTGCCAAAACAGCTGTTAAATGTAATTAAAATTGGTGGCCAGCGCAGTCAAGAGCAACGCCCCTAGCTTACCCAGTCGCCCACTTGCCCACAATGAATTAAATAAATTAATTTAGTTGGCAGACGCAAAAAAATATGCAAACGTAATATGCGTAAAACCGCAAAACGAAAAAAAGACAACAAAAAAAAAAAAGCAAAGCGAAGTTAAAACCCAAATGAAATATGGAAAAACGCGTGTAAATGGCGAACGCGTTTTTTTCTTTTCAACACCAGAACTGTGGTAATTTTACACCTAACCTAAGAGCAGAGCGACAGGTGCTTAGCAACACTGGCAGCCCCCTCCAGTATTAGTGGCAACCACTTACACTCGCACTCGCACTCGCCAGCCGCCATCTGGCGTCTCTGTCTAGCGCTCATTTGAATGCCGCGCAACAAGCATTTATGTAAATTGAAAATATGCCGAAACGGGACAGCAGCCATTTAAATTCAATTGTCAGCCGCATCTCGTGCCGTGCCATGGCAATGCGTAAGAGTGGGAGTGGGAGTGGGAGCGGAACGGAAGGCAATGGAAAGAGAATGCGAGAGCACAAGCTGAGCGCGCTGCTGCTGCTTCCCGCTGTGGGTGCACGCAATCAGAATTTATATTTATTACGATTACCGTTCAGTCGCAGTTCACAGCCGTTGCAGTGCAGATACCCATTCGTTCATCAATAATAAGCGTGCAGAGACAGTCTTCAAATTACACAGACGTCCAGACACACCAACACACACATACACAGACATTCAACGTTATGGAACGCCTGCTGACCATATTTGAGAAGGCCGATCCCTTCTCCACCTGGTGGCCCACAATTGCAGCCGTGCTGGTTGGCGTTGTGATAACAGTGCGGTAAGTGAGGCGGTTCTGGAGGAGCAAACACAGGCACACGCACACACACAAACAGGGACAGGGACAGGCACACATACACACAATCCAACAGAATATCCAACACGAACGATAAGACACGGCCCACGGCAAAAAGTTTTCGCCGCATCGCGACGCGTTGCCGGACACGTGCATATACATAACTGTCGCGGCGAAGAGAGTAAAGTAATAATAAAAAAAAACAGAAAAAAACTCGCTGCACTCGAAACTTTTTAAGTGGATTTCATAAAGAGGGTCGCAAGTCGCAGCTAAGCCCTCGCTCAGTCCACCACCTCCTGCTGCTCCTGCTGCTTGCCTTCAGCGAACTCCGTGAAGCAGCGGGATAATGTGTAATATCTAAAGATTATTTTTGCGCGTTGCGCTTTTGAGGAGTGCACGCGGTTTTTGTGGCCTGTCGCCCCCATGCCACGCCCCGGTGCAGGTGTTTGGCTGAGAATGCGCTGGCAAGGACAATTGCGGGGGCATAGGGGGCGTGTCAGTGAGCAATGTGCTGCTGCAATCGCAATATGTACGAACTGGCAACTGACAACTGCGGCAAGTGCCAAAAGCTGCTGCTGCAAATATTTGTAAAGTGGATTTGCGCAAGTTGGCTAAAAGTAAATGCGTTGGCAAATGAATTCTGAAACGCTGCAAATACCGTCGAGCAGGTAAAACTAACCTAAAGTGCCAAATAACTGTCAGCCAATGAAGTGGAAGGTCTTAATGCCACCCAAGCAGACACACAATTTAAACTTAAGCTGAGCCAATATTAGATATATTTTGATATGATAGCAGAAAACTAACTATAGTCTAATACCTATGTATGGCTTATAAGTGTAACAAGAAATATGAAAGAATTTTTAATCTATTAATTTATTGTGCGAATGAAATAATTCATTATCCCTCACACATCATTCAAGCTTACCTTACATTTCTTTTGAAATAGCCTTTAACAGTTCTCTGTTAATTCATTAGCAGCAGCCCAACAGCAAATAACATAACAATTTTAAATGAGAGCCTTAAGCCGAGATTGAGGAGTGCTACTGTTAAGTCAACTGTGAGGAGGGCTTTAACTAGCTAACATAACATAAGCTCTGCTATTTATAGCCGTTATGAAAACGTAATTTAAATGCTTTCTTTTCGCTTATTAATAAAATAAAAAATATATGAGTAATCAAGAAAGAGCTACAAAAACAAAAGTTCCAAAGCTCGACAAATAAAGTATACTTTGCTTAATATATGTTAATAATATGCATTGCTGTTTAATACAGCGTTAATAGTCGCCTAAATGCTACAATTGTTGCCGCTTAACTTGTTGAGTATCTTACATAATTTTAAATTTAACAAACGTGAATTAGCATATGCTAATAGGAAGTACGATATTATTTACGCAACATCAATAAGCCAGAGGGACGCAGAGAGAGAGTGAGAGAGAGGGAGGAGAGATAGTGAAATGCTTCAGTGAGCAGGCTTTAGACCACATGTTGGTTACACAGCATTACGGTTAAGTTTCCCACTTACACACACACACACACACACACTCACACACACATATAGAGCTATCTGTACTGTATGTTGCCCGCATTGCAGCACCATAATGAGCGGCCAGCGCTGCCCGAACGATAATCAAATCAAGGAGCAAATTGTTATAGTTACCGGTGGCAGCAGCGGCATTGGCTTTGAGATAGCCAAAGCGCTGGCGGCACGTGGCGGTCGCATTATCCTTGCCTGCCGCAATCTGGCGGAAGGCGAACGTGCCGCATCAATTATTAAACGGGAGCTAGGCTGCCGCACGCCCACCTCCAGCGAGGACACCGTCAGCCCCGCCGAACGCTACTTCGTGGAGGCGCGCCACCTGGACCTCTGCTCGCTGCGCAGTGTGCATCAGCTCGCCGGCCAGCTGATGTCCGAGTTCGAGCGCATCGATGTGCTGGTGAACAATGC